ATATATATACACACACACACATATATGTATATATTTGCAATATAACTTTATAAGGAAAAAAATCATCACTCCTATTTTACAGATGAGAGAGTCGAAACTTAATATGTTTAAGTAATTTGCTGAAGATCACCCAACTGGCAAGTGGTGGATACTGTATGCTGCTAAACCTTCTGAAATATGATATTCTGAAAATATCGTTACCTCTTCACCAATCACTGGAGGGAAGGGATGAATTCCTCCATTTCCTGTGACACTATCTCCTAAGGAAATTTACCTTAATGTTGGTATAGTAGGAGTCGAGCGTGGTTTCCAGCATGCTGCCTTTACTGTAACCAAATTATAGCAAATGAGGGAATGTCCTAACACCTTTTCAAAGGGGTTGTATATCATGATGAATTTTGTCATCCCTTACCACACGTGTTGCTTTGATGTGACCTTCAGTCATGGTAAAGAGCACTGCCGGGGGCTAATAGATAATAGTAGGGGTAAGAAAGAAATGCTGCTAGAAAGAGGAAATTGTTTTTTCTATATTGTGCTGAATGTCCTTGCTGGCACTCCTCCTGCTTAACACAGAGGTGAAAGCAGTAGTTCAGCTTGGTTTTTCTTACAGACTCCTCACAGTCATAGAATTTTTATCTGCAGGTGCTTTCTTCATCACCTGCAATTCAGTTGCATGAATGTTTTTCATCATGTGCAGGTGTGTTCTACACCAATTTTTTAAAAACCTAATGATTGCTTTTTGGGCAATTTTTAAAATTTTGGGTGGAAATGACAAGGCAAAGCAGAAGGCTTAAACAATTCACTAGTGATGATGTAATTGCATAAAAAGAAAATGTAGGGGCACCTGGGTGGCTCACTTGGGTAAGCGTCTGACTTCGGCTCGGGTCATGAACTCATGGTTCATGAACTCCAGCTGTGTGCTGTCAGCACAGAGCCTGCTTCAGATCCTCTGTCCCCCTCTCTCCGCCCCTCCCCCACTCATGCTCTCTTTCCCTCAAAAATAAATAAGCATTTAAAAAAATAATAATAATAAAAGAAAAAGAAAAAGAAAATGCAGTCAACTCATCAGCAACCGACAGCGTACTTGGAGTTATTTCCTATAGTGACGGTGAGTTTGCATTTCCAATGCACCTGGTCCTCTGACCAAGGATATTTATTTGTAAGGTGTGATAGTGGCTGGATGAGTCATCAGAGCCCATACCAGTTAGTTAGCTGAGCTGTAATGGTGGATTTTGTATAAAGGTTTTAGATGACATAATGGAAAATACAATTTGGCAGAAGATCCCAATGGTATCTTTGAGTGGTAAATATTTCTTAAATATCAAAGCTGACTGCATACTATTCTGTTGTAAATTTGGTTAAGTTTTCACCATTTGGGTGGGAAATGAATATTGTCATAATATATTGCTTTCTGATGATCTATTTGGTAAAAGGGAAACAGAATGCTATAATCTCTTTGGACACTTCCCAGAGACTCTGGGTTGGGAGAATTCAGTGAAAGTGAAACATGGAGCTAAACAAAGTAGGGGCCCTTCCCTTCCACCCCATCTACAGAAGACAGGCAACCAGATTTTTCCCTCCTGCAAAATCTGGTAGGGCTGTTTTCTACAAAAGGTAGACAGAACCCTTACTAGAGAACTTGCAAGGCATCTAGTATGAATGCCAATTTATGGTAAATTCTGCCTCATTGGCATTTGAGAGGTTCCCTGCCTGGCTTTTCCTACCCACTCACTCTAAATTGAAACCTAACAGTTAACACTCAAGCACAGGTACCCCAGTACAATCTCCCATTCTAGAAAAAATTAAAGGGAAACCGACCTACTTAAATATACTTAAATGTGACATCAATGGAAATGCAAACCAGCCTCAGTACTACATTCTTAGAGCTGAACAGACAACTTAAGATAAACAGGCATCTGAGGAAAACAAACAACATAAAAGAAAATCCAAGGCAAATAAACAAAAAAACACTCTGGGGGCCAATAGTAATGATTGGGGAAACTAAAGAGAATTCCAAAAAAAGCCATAAAAAATTAAACTTTCTCACCTGTACAACCTTTAATTATTACTCTCAGATTCAAGAAGATATGATCACCATAAAATAGAAAGCTATGAGAAAACAATCAGAAATCAGTAGTTCAAGTTTAAAATAAAACATGATTTCCAAAGCATAATCTGGCTCTGATCCCCAGTAACCCGTTACTAATTACCAATAAGCTTATGGCTTCAGTCCTGCCATCTGCTTTGTATTTTTATCAAGTTCATGGAGATATTTGTGTTGTTTAAAGTCCTGATATGTCTTGTGGGTTTTCCATTTTTCCATTGCATCTATCATTTCAGTATGTGGGGGTACATCAAATTTTTAATTTACTGTACCATCTTGACCCAAAGTCCCTATACTTCTATTTCAGTTTTTAAAAAAATGGAACGAGGTAGCTTTTGTGTAATGCGATACTTTTAGTAGAAATTTCATGAATCAAAAGATACTTTGCTTCTGACAGTGTTATTTTGGTACATTAATCGCTTGCTATTCATAATCAGATTATATTGTGCAATCAACAATCAGTAATACCCTGATTAAACCTTTGGGTATGTTCACTATTCTGGCAAAAGTTCCTTTATATAAATAAACATAGAATCCAGACCTATATTCTTCTGAATTGTTTACTAGCAGGTATTATTTACACAGCAGGTATTAGTAATTGAACCATTCGTTATGCTTAAAATGTCCTTGCTGCTCATGAGAAAAAATTGGAATTGAGGATTTATCCCAAAAAAACTGTTAAGAAGAAAGGTAACTGAGTTTGGAAGGTAGCTCAAAAGACTTTTAACTTTGTATATTTCCTTTATTGAATATTATTTGCAATGCATTTTGATTCAGTCCTGAAAAATAAAATT